TCAATTCATACTATAAGCAAGCATCATTCCTTCGCCATCTTCAATCCCAAGATCCCAATACTTCTAACTTGACACATGATCAACGAATGACAATGATGATCATTTTCATGCAGAGAAGCGCAGATCTGGTACGAGAAGAATGGATGACGATAGTGATGACACTCTTGAAGCAGGAACACTGTATCAACCCAAAAAGAAGGGACGACGACAAGCAAGAATCAACACGAGCAACACACATGGTTGAGATCAAATAGTAGTAGCGGTGCCGGTGGTAGCAATCTTAGGTAAAATTTGACAGTGCAAAGTAAATGAAGGTGAAAATAATAAATGAAGCAAAGCAAGGATTTGAGCAATGGAGATAATGAAGAGAGAGAAACAGCAGAAAGGGGAAGGGATGACAGCAATGCACATGGTGGAGATAAGGTCTCGTGGCGGCTATGATCTCTCATCAGATTCGGAGAGTGAAAGGCAACTGAAGGGTGAGCAAGGGATGAGCTAGCATAGGGTGACAACAATGAAGGGTGTAACACCCTGTCCTACTATCTAAACATTTAGCAAACAATTATCGAAGAATAAAGGCTCCACCCACTTTATTTAATTCAAAGCATAATTTTTATTTTGTGACATCATAGTTCAAAATATAACTAAATTCTAGAAATATTAATCCAAGCCAGTTTATGGTGAACTATCGTCCAATAACTAAAAGCAGATAGAAAGAAAGAAATATAGTTTAAAAATGATAAAAGGTCCAATAGTCAGTGCAAAAAGTAAATATAATCCTATATGTACTGTGAGGAGTACAATAGCCAAACGCTCATTCCTCTGACGCCTTCTCTTGATTCCTACTTAGGCTTTCTCCTAACAAATGTTAAAGAAGGGATGAGAACTAGCGTCTCAGTAACCCAAAGTTTAATCATACATGCACAAACTACAACCACACAATTATACAACTAATATACAAGTGAGTTCATAAGAATCATTCAATTATAACAAAAAAAGTTCATACAATATAGCTCATACTATGTCAATATGCAATATCAAAAATCTCCTTTATTACTCCATCTATCCTTATTCCATTGACTGGAACCATAGGCTTAAATACGGTCTGGCCACATGCTGGACTGACCAAACTTCTTCAGTGCTCGAGATATACCTGGCTAAAGGTACAGAACCCAAGCTTAGATTATAACTCCCTTCTTTGAAAAACCCCAACTAGGAGGTGTCACTGTCCTACCTTCTCCCTTTACAAAGCCGGCCAGGTAAGTATTGAGGAATGGGACTTTTTTTAAAAAAAACAAGCCAACTACTATGCGCGCAGTAGAGGCAAACCATGTGGTTATTGAATCATATATGTATCAACATCATCATCTCCTCATCAACCCATCCCCTAATGCATACTACACATAAACAACAATTACATCGTGTACAAGCATGCTTGAAAAGGAATAGACTTATCTCATTCAATCAACTCAATGTACAAACATGCTTGAAAGAAATAAATCACTCTTAAATAATACATACCATTTCCATCAAATAAAATTCATTAATCAGCATTTACAAGCATGCTTGAAAAGAAACACTAATAATATATAGCCAAGCTACAAGCATGCTTGATAAGATTATAAATTTTTACAATTAAATTTATGATTATATGTATTCGTTATTAAACACATAGCTTGCACACATATGGAAAAACCTCGAGATACCTGTTCTCCTTAAGCACAAGCAGCCACACAGCAAAATCAAATAAGAAGAGCTTTCAGTGAGAGTCTACAAAAAGTGCACACATATAATATATTACTATATAGCTTAAAACTATTAAAAATTCACCCTAAAACTACTCTAAGGTCATCCTAAAGCTATTTTAACTAGGACCTTAAAACCGTCCTAAAGAGCCCAAAATTCTCTTCAAGTTTTCATAATTAAAATTACACAACCCTTAATTTTATTTGACCTCTGTAATTTATATATACTAGTAGTTAAAACTAATTTACTGTATAATTTTTATCTATATAGCTTATCCAAGAAAAATAAAAATTAGCCAATAGTCTTTTGATGAAATCTTGAGAAAATAGATGGAGAAACAATAGGGAAAAAAATGAGAAAAAGAGAAGAACAACAAACAGGTCATATGTATTAATTAGCGTATATGTATAGAAAAAAAAAAGAGAGGAGCATGTATATGAGGATCTATGTGTGACTAAATATACCCACACCAGAATTTAATGTAGATATGTATATGGAAAAAGAATGATAGAAAGATGCATTTATTTATGTACATGCGTTGTGCGTACGGTGAGAATGAGCACGGAGAGAGAAGATGCACCTATAACTTATGTACATTGATAAAGTGGTCTGACACAAGGAAAGGCGAAAAGCAAGAGAACAAATGTGAAGGGAAGAGGAAAACGTGAAAAGAAGATACAACTTGGAAGGTACCTGAAAAGAAACTCTATGGAGCGAGCAAATGCAGCAGATGTTAGGATAAAAATGGTAGTGTAGGGTTTATAATTAGGTTATATTTTAGACTCATAAATTTATAAATTTAAATAAATTTTCTTTCTATTAATTATTATTTTTATAATATTTTTAAAGATAATTCTAGAATGATCTGATAGTAGATAATGAAGAGAGAGAGAGAGAGAGAATTCATTTATTAAACGCTTCGGTCACACTGGCTTGGATAACCATTTAATGCTGCCAACATTCATTCACCCTGACGCAGATGAGAAAGCTAGGTATATCAGCTTAATCTAAAATGCTAGTTTGGAGCTAATTGTGGTTGAATTTTTTTTTTTTTTTTTTTTGCAATCCAAACTTCATAGCTTGAGTTTTTAACATCCTAGCTTAGGTTTAGGCCATCCCAACTTAAGTTGAGATGTTATCCAAACATGCTCTATGTCTTGCATGAAACACGTTCCCAGTCTCAACAATAATATAATTCTCTTGTTGCGTTCCCATTGACTATCCCGAAAATAATTTTCTTGCTGTGTGTCACGATGAATCCAATCTTCATATCAATCTATACACTTGTGAAAGCAGAATTTTTTTTTTTTAATGAAATAAAGTTTAGATGAGTTGAATTTTGAGATTCACTAATGTCAGTGTATGCCTCCAAACTTCAAGAACACTTATAGAGATACTTATAGATCATCCACTAACAAGATCTTCAAGATTTAAACCCATGACTAGATGTTGTAATTTGGGTCAAGCTTAATAAGTTAGTTTAAATGAGTCTAAAAATCTTAAGGCTAAGCTTAGGAATTTAGAAGATTTCCTTTTATCTCGGGTTACAGAAGAAACTCAATTCAAGCCTCGAACCCAAATGAGTGTAGCTTGAATACCTAAATTCTTTTTTATTATTATTAATAAAATAAAATTAAAATAATATAAAAATTGAAAATATTAATTTCCAAGGTAAAAATTAAAATTAGCTAGAAAAATAAAAATATAATAAAATAATATTTTTTAATTCAGATATGTGAGCTAGCCCAGTGCCCAAGGTGTTAGGACAAGATTTGATTATATGAGTTTTGTTTATATGTTCAAGTATTTAAAGTATGATTTGAATATGTTTGGCTTAAATAAACCCAATCTGCTTGAATAATTAGTTTTACCCATGAGTTGCATGAGTCAAATCCTTATTAATTGAATTAAAAAAATAGAGAGCAATTGGACCTACAACAATAAATTAATACATATAATTGGATGTAGCACTCTTATTTTTGTAAGAATGACAAAAAGTTCTCAAAAGATCAATTAATTCAATATAGGTCCCAAATTTCAAGAATTTTCAATTTAATCTCTCAGTTTTGAAGCTTCATTATGATGGATTTATAACTTGTATTTCAAATTTTAATAGAGAAAATAATTTTTTTTTATCGTTTAACCATGCTTTTGGAAAACAAGTTGTAAATTCATTATAATGCAATTACAAAATTAAGAGATTTAGTTGCAAATTTATGGAACTTGACACTTAAAACCTAACTTGAATTAATTAATTTTTTTGAGACATCTTTGTTATTCTCATTTTTTTTGTAATTATAAGGTATAGGTCTCGCCGACAATAGAGAATATCTCTTTTAAAGTATTGAGAATAATAAATAAATTTTTCTAAACTAAATTACTACATATAACAGAGGCATCATATTTTAATGCAAAAATTTAAAACAATAAATTTATGAATCCTTTCATTTATATATTTTTATGCTTATTAACTCTATCTAATGTGGGTTTCCCTCCAGCTTGTTTATATCAAATCAAGAATCCTAGTTACACTCAGCTTGACATCCAAACAATAATGATGACACATATTCCAAATTAAATTAAACCTGTTCACATGAGGATAATCTCTCCCATTATTTCTCTTTACTTCACAACGTGTCAACATTCCTTGCTTATATATGGGAAAGGAGCAACATGTGTTTGTTTCCCGTAACATCTCGCGTTAATTGAGCCGTGGCGCATATGTATGTATGCATGTAGTTATGTACCCACAACTTATGACGATGAATATAGTTTGTTAATTATGGAAGATTATATATCGCGAGGTTAATTTGAACACATCGTGCCACAATACAATGCGTCTAGTATGGTTAACATTACAAGAGAAGAAAATATCTCTAGTTTTGCGAGACTTCACCATGCACGAGCTTCGACAAAAGAGATGAACATATATATTCAGCAATAATCTCTGTGCTTTTTGCATAGAAGCCTCAGAAAAGACATAAAAATTTCTAAGCATCAAATTGTTAATTAAAATATCCTTTTATATTAGTTTATAAGTAAGATCTACACATCCTGTTTGTTCCTCCATTACTACATACAGTTGTTCAAATATATTATGTGTAACGAATGGTACTTTGGCAATCATTGATGCAGAGTCAGAAACATCGTTGATCAGTGAGTAAAAGTTTTAATTTCCGCTTAAAAGGTAAAAACACAAATAACTTGTATTGATTATATTCTTGATACTACACCTATTTACAACACCAGGCCAGTCTCAAACTTGTACCAGTTGACAGACAATACAATAACAAGTTGAGTATTTTAGGTGGGAAAAAAAAAAAAAAGATACTAGCGAGGATACAAATCAGTAATTGGATCTTCATCCACAGACCGTTGCACCGACTTGCTTGTAGATTGATCCGAACTATTCTCAGAAATGGTCGGATTGTTTGAGTTTGTTCTATGGCGATCAACAAAAAATGCTGGCTCTTGAGGGTCTGATAGGGTGACAGAGTGGCTACTTAGCATTACCATAATAGATTGCATTGTAGGTCTCAGTGCTGGATTTTCCTGGATACATAACATGCTTATATGAATGCATTTATTAACTTCATTTCTTGAACAAGAATCTCTTAAACTAGGATCCAACAATTCTAATGGCGTCCCTTCCCTCCACAGCTTCGAAGCCTGGAAATCAAATAATATATAATTAATGCGTTGAGATTTGATATCTCTCTAGCTGCCATCTGAGTTTATTTGCTTTGATAATCTACTTACATAGCTTAGTAGGTCTTCAGCGTAACTTGATACGTAGAAAGCTGTATTCTTCTCACCACTAATAATCTCCAGAATTAGGACACCAAGGCTATATATGTCAGATTTGATTGAAATATGACCATGCATTATATATTCTGGAGCCATGTAGCCACTGCAAATGAACACACAGCACATGATAAATAATCTTATGTCTCTAGTTTGTTATAAATTATGATACCAAATAATTGGAATGAAAAATTGGTTTAAGTATACACACAAGGTACCGACAACTCTACTCGTGCTTGCTTGAGTTTCATCAACTTCAAAAATTCTAGCCATGCCAAAATCAGAAATTTTTGGATTCAAATCTTCATCCAAAAGTACATTACTAGCTTTGAGATCTCGATGTATAATTTTGAGTCGAGAGTCTTCATGAAGATAAAGCATCCCCTTTACAATTCCTTCGATAATCTTGTACCGTTTTGACCAATTCAATTTACCTTCATTTTCAGGTCCTGTATATGGTCAAAGGATTTAGAAGCATATTCAAATAAAATAAAAAATTAGATTCACATCCTTACTCAAGTTAGAACTTCAAACCAATTATTTATAAAATTATATGATTGGATAAGTGAACCTGCGAGTACTTGAATGCATAACATAATTCTGCAGAACTTACCAAACAGAAACTTATCCAAGCTTTTGTTGGGCAAGAATTCATAGACAAGTATCTTTTCTTCCTCATCTAAACAAAATCCTAGTAACCTCACAAGATTTCTGTGTTGAAGTTTTGCCATCGTAACAACTTCATTCTTAAATTCTCCTACACCTTGTTTGGAATTGCTTGATAATCTCTTCACAGCTAACTCTTTTCCACCAGGAAGAGTACCCTGCATATAAAATAGCCAACTATTAAAACCCATTTGCGAACAAATAAATAATAATTTGATGATTTTAAGAGGGATTCTGATTTCCATTGGTGAAATAGACTCGTATGTATACCTTGTACACCTCGCCAAATCCTCCTTGCCCTAGTTTATTATCAGGAGAGAAGTCGTTTGTGGCTGATTTGATGGTATCCAAATCAAATTGTAGGGACTCTACACTTGAAATCTCAACTACATAACCATACACAAAAAATGATGAATTACGCTTGACTTTAATTTCTTGCACTAGAGCTATATTTACTATAGAAGCACACCAACATTACATGTTTAAACGGTGATATGAAGACTGTTCATTGTGTATTAATTTTGTGATGTTACTAATCAAAGGAACTTCCTTGCTTCCATGTAAAGCGAAAATTGCAGGTGCATCCAGTTCGATACGAAATCTGATAATCATATCATACCAGTTTGTACAGGAAGTGATGTATGCTTCTTTATCCTTGCTCTCCTTTTTAAGCACCAGAAGCTGCCGAGCGAGACTGTCAATATGAATTTAAATGTTGGAACAGCTATGGAAGTGACTGTACCAGTTGAAATCCTGCCTTTATCTGCACAAAAAAAAAAAAAAATCAAATTACGTATATTTTCGGATTTTTATTAAAATTGGACAATTGTTTTCTTTATCCTTAACAATTAACATGTTCACAAATTTCCTATAAATCAATTTCCAAAGTTAAAATTGTCCAATTAAAATATGATTTATTAAAAACAATATATATATATATATATATATATATCTTTACCCTTAATTTTTTTTGATACAATTTACGCTTAAATTTTTAAATCGAAGGTGTTCTATTGAATTTAAAATCAAACTGAAATATAAAATATATTTTTGTTTATGAGAGATTTCACATAATTTAATGGATGAAAAATTTATGTAATATCTACAAATTGTTAATTTCTGAATCCAACATCATTTTATATAATATATACCCTTCATTAAAAATAGGACCCAAGGGAGTATCGTGTCACTCGTTAGTCATGTTGACATAAATGAATTGGTGATTCAAATATGTCTTTTTTACTTGGGGGACGAAATTTAATTAAATGAGTAGATTAACATGGATGATTGAAGAAATGATTGTTACCTTGGGAAGTGGATTGCAGCGGAGGGGCTGGTGGCGGAGGAAAGTCCTGGTAGAAGGCGTAGACTTCATACCTTAAAACGCAACTGGGCTTCTGGGTTACTCCCCCAACATTTCCATTACAGCAAGTAGGCAAATTGCTAATACTGTTTCCCAGACAGTTCCGACATTCAATCTCAGATATATCCTTCGTGCACTGCGCCAGAGTATATAGAGTTTGAAAAGGACTATACTTTACTTCTTTGGTTGCAAATTTCTTGCTTCCCCCTTCCGACGCCTCTTTCGCAACCACTGTCAAGGTTTCACCCAACAGGTTCATAAAGCTCGTCGTGTCTGTTGCGTTGCGGGCGTTAACAACAATTTGCTGGGGTTGTTCTTGCATCGTGGAGAAGAAATACTCGTCGGAGTAATGTAACCAGCAGTTTTCGAACCAAGCGACGGCTCCTGTATTATTGGGGCACCTCTGAAGGATTTTTTTGATTCCGTCGGAAACACATGTTTGACAGGCTGGGACGGTGGCAGAGCCATGGCACTGGAAGAGGCCGTGGACGGCGTCGCTGTTTTCTCCCACGGTGGTGTTGTAAAATCCATCAATTTGATTGGCGTTGGAGGAAAGGGAAGAAAGTAAGCGATTAACGTTTGTTTGGAATGTGCTGTTTGGTGCATAAGTTGTGTCTGAACAAGACGCTTTGATTCTAACAATCAAAAGGATTACAAGGCAAGCAAGGAGAGAGAGTTTTGAAGAATCCATGGGGCGAATCGTTTCCGATGATTGTATAATGCCGTGGGCGATGAAATATGAGTAGTCCCTGCTAACTTCTTGTTGTTTTTACTCTCCTCATCTCAAATTATAAAACATTTTTAGATAAAATTTTACATATTAATAAATATTATTAAATACACCTAATAATTTTATCTTTTCAAAACAAAAATATAAATTTTTAAAAATACTAATAATTTAATATATTGAAAAGAGAAGGGACAGAAATTAATTATAGAAGGAGAAAAGATAATATTAAAATTAGTACATTTAATAAAATTTTAATTTACTTAAAGTATTTTATATTTTGAAATATTTTTTTTTAAAGTGTCTTATAATTTAAGATATAGGAAGTATTATTTTGGAATTTTCAACGGGGCAGGTTTAGAATTAGGAAAGCATTGATAAATCAAGACATGACGCAGACGGGACTAATGTCGAGGTGTTAGGTGTGAATGAATGGAGCTTGGCGTGTAAAAAAGCCCCACATCAAATGAAATTAAGCCAGAGAAGATGTATACTCCTTCCATTTAAAAAAAATAAAATATTAATTTTTTAAAAAATTAAATGTTAAAAGATATAAAATATTTTTATTTTTGTAAGGTATAATCATTACTTTTTTTTAAAGTACCCCTATTATATAGATTATTTTATATTTATTTTATAATAAAACACCCTATTAATAAAGAGTAAATATAAAAGGATAAGATTAGTTTGAAGATAAATAGCTACTTTATTAGGATAAAATTTAATTAAAAATACCTTATATTTTTTGAATCGAAGAAGTATAAGTAAAAAAAACTTATAAACTCAACACCTTAAAGTTTTGGATTAAAATGTAACATTACACTCATTTATATGTTCTTTTAGACCATTGGGTGGCCCAATTGTGTTATTTCCTCTTTCGGGGTGCTTCTCGGGCCCAACACTAGGATTATCACAATATTAAGTTATTTTAATTAATCAGTCTCATATTATTCATACTTATTTTGAATTTCATCCTTAAATTTTTAATTATTAGGACCAGTCTTTAAAAATTTAAAAGGGGTAAATTATAAGAAATAACTTTAGAAAATCATGAAGTGAAAAGATTAAATTAAATTAAGAAGAGAGATAAGATTTTTTATTCTATTTATAAGTCATTTAATTAAATTTTCATCAAAAAAATTTTTATTTTCTCTCCATTAAATGTTAGAGAGAAAAAATATATTATTAAAATATATATAAAATAGGGATAAAGTTAAAAATATTTAATTTTTAAACAAAGTTAATGAATTGTAAGAGTAAAACATATTAGAAATGTTTTATATATAGAACTACAAGAATAATAAGGATTATTGTTTGATTAATTTTTTTTCCTTATCGTGAAACAGTGGGGGAGCTAGCAAGGAGACACTGCCTCGTGACGTACGGTAGCAATGAATACAAAACAAAACCATGCGCAGCATTATAAATCATAATCTTCCATGAACATGCAGCGTTAGGTAGTGCAAAAGTCAAAACCAACTTTTTGGGGTAAAACCCACTTTTCAATTCTGGGCCCTTCATTGTCATCTACTTTGTTGATCTCTTCCTTCATTATGTTTGATTAGGACTTATCTGTCTTCGGCACCAGACGGAAAATTTGAACTTATCCTTATGGATGAAGAGTTGAAGATAATAGCCAACGGAGAATGCTACCCTGATGCTGTCAAAAAGCACTGATTCCACAAGTTAATTAGGTTCTTTTGCCCCTTCAAATTCCAAATAAAATAAATTTCCACTCACCATTTAATTATGTAGTCAAGCGAATGCAGAAATTACATATCAATCACTCTCCCTCCCTCCCTCTCTCTCTCTCTCTCTCTCACTCACACACACACAAAGGTGGGTCGTCGGTAGGTGACTTGTGTGCAGTAGAGGGAGGGAGGGAGAGGTCGCGGGAGGTGGGTCATCAATGGATGATGGATTTGTCAACCAATGATGGTGGTGTGAAGCTCCTTGAGTCAATGAAGAGCTAAAAGGTGGGTCGCCGTTAGTGATGGAGTTGTCGACTTGTGTGCAAGAGAGAGAAAGAGAAGTAGCGTCATAGGGAACCTATTGTAGTTTACGCCGAGCCTGTTGTAGAGGAGGACGTCGTTGTTCGATGTCAGTGAAAGGTAGTCATCGCTAGTGGTCGCCTTGTTGCCACCATTGCTAGAAGTGTCATAGGGAAGAAGAAGGCATAAAATGGAGGAAATGGTAAAATAGACAGACAATGCATGAAAGTATCATAGAATCAGATTCCATCTTGTATATGATGGAATCCAATTCTGCCTATTTTGTAGGAATTAAGATTCTAAAGAGTTGTATTTATAGCATACCAAACACATTATAACATGAATTTCATTTTTAATTCCTTTTCCCACTTATTGATTACAAGGTACCAAATGGGGCCTCATTTTATGAAAAGAGGAGGCATCAAGTTTCTCTTCCCATGAAGGTAGCTTGAGGCGAAAGGAGGGGGACCTGCATAAGCCATGCCCCCAATTTTTAACTTTTTTCTCAATATTATATCGACGTTACGTATACTTCTAGCCCCAAAAATTTATAAAAGTTTTATAGTATCTATATTTTTTTAATCTCAACCCCAAACATATTAGAAGATCTTGACTCTAATCATACACATCAAGATGCATCCATTTCATTCTTATCATATACTCAGGTTTTACTTAGTACTAAAATAGTTGTGATCCTAAAACCAATATTAAAGATAGTCAAGAAACTAAAGGAGAGAGTATATAGAAGTGCATAAATGAAGTAATTTTTTTTATTGCTAATAAATATCCTCCTATTAAAATAATTTTATTCAAGACATGGTCGATTGGGTACTAAATGTGAGTATTTCTCTTAGCGAAAATTCAAATATCAGTTTATGATGTTGTAAAAAACTAGTCCCTTATGCTAAATCTCAAATGAAAATATTTTAATATTGATATTTATAGGTTTCCTAGACTTAATGAACTTGATTTTGGTTTTGAATATTCTCAAAATAAATTAAATATTATTAAATTTTTTCAGTAATATACTCATCTTTACAATAAAAAAATCCAAATAGTAAAAAAAAATCCAACTCCATAAGAAGGAAACAATAAGGTGGCTTTTTTTGTTTTTGAAAAAATGAAGTTAGATTGTCTATTTCGCCATGAACAAAATAAGTTGGATTAAGCAATATGTTAGTACTCCTTCAAGATCATAATGTTAAGTAATTTTCTAGAAGCCGTATTTGATTCAAAATATAAGGCATTGAATTGGTATTATATATATATATATATATATATTTTCAATTACACCCTTACTTTATTGAGTAATTAATGAATGTGTTTTGAATAAGTTAAATATTATATTTATTACTCTTCACGACATATTGAAAAGATGTGAAAAATTTTAGAAAATCAAAATATTAGCAAACTTTTTTTAGAAATATAAATTAGTTAACAATTACTTATATTATGATCTGTATTTGATCATGTTTTTTCAAATTTCCTTTGCTAACATAACTAATGGATGAGCAAATTCTAACATAACTAACTGACCAAAGAATTTTCAACGTTCATACTATGGGAAAAAAAATCCAACACATAATATAGCATGCTTGACTTTTTAAGCCCTATATATACAGCAATGAAGACCCATTTTTTCAAGTCTTTATTATTATTAGTTAACGTTAAAAAACTATGTCACTCACTTTGGGAAAACTTTTTGTCCAACCCAATAAAGAACAATATGAGGAAGAAGATGATTAGTTAGTGTAAAGTTCAAAGGAGATTAATAATGCAATTGGGGACAATAAGAAGAATTTGCTACAAGGGCATTGGCCAAAGTTGGGATCTAATGAAAAATTAAAGAATGATGTGAAACTGACTTTTGCTGAAAAACTTAAGGGCATCAATAGAGATGAGGATAGCTTAGATGATGAACAAGAAAAAGAGGATGATGCAAACTCTGGTGAGGAGAAGAATGATGATGTAATAGGCTAACTCTACAAAATTATTATTTTTAAACCATTGGAGATAAGAGCAAAAATTTTCCTACCTTTATGTTCTTGACGAAGGTGAAGAAATGTCATTATAGAGCTTAGAAGAAGGCTGCAATAGTGAAGCTCTTAGACAGACCTATTGGTGTTAAAGCCTTAAAAACAAGACTACAAGCAACATGGGCTAAAAGAGGAGTCATTAGATTTATCAATATCAGGCATGACAATTTTGTGGTCATCCTATTAGACAAGGATGATTATTTATAATTTTAGAATCATATACCTTAATGCTTTCTAAAATATAGTCCTTCATACATTCTAATTGATAAGAGTATAATAAAGTCCGGCTTCAGCTTATAGAAGCCCAATATGATATGTACTAGTGTCCAATCCGTGAGATAATATCTCATAAATACATTTACTTATTTTTTATTCTTTTTCATTCTTTAGAAGGATGTAGATGTGTTGATGTGGACTTTTCTCTTGTAATTGTTTCTTGTTATATAATGGACACTGTACCTTAGGATACTAACGTTAAGTGAGGCTTATTTTTTTTCAAAAATCCTTTTCTTGGTATCAGAGCATAAAGCATTCATGGCCACTTTTTTGCTTCTTGTGACCTACTCACAGGCTTTTGCTCCTCCACAATAACTATTCCTATGATCTCTCCTTCTTCTTCCTCTACCTTTATTCTTTATGTTTTTGCAGTTTTTGTCTCCTCCATTACTGTCATCCCTACCATCTCTCTTTCTTCCTCTACTTCCATACCTCATATCTATGCTCACCAATTTTTTCTTGTCCCTCAATAGTCTCAATCAAGCAGGATCGATCAAACTATCTACTTTGGCACAACTTAATTGTCTCCATCTTACAAAGTCATCGTCTTAAGAGTTTTCTTACAGGCATGTGTCTTGTTCCACCAGAGTTTATTTCTAATAGAACTGATATTATTACCAACCCTTCCTTTAATGACCGACATTCTACTAATCAATTGATTTATGGCTAGTTTCTTAGGTTAATAAGCCCAGATATATTGTCTCAGGATCTC